TCGTTGTTTATAACCAACAACCTCTATAAAAAAAACCCCCCCAGAAAGACACCTACCCCCCAGCCCAGCCAGCCACAACACCGTGAATTCCTCAGGGAGGTGCCAGCCTCATCCTCTTGATCTTCCCATGCTCCTCTGGTGAACTAAGAACACGCTTATCTCCCTGAGCCTTCATAATTCCATTCCATCACAAAGACTCTTCTATACCAATGCATTTCAGAAGGATACCATACTTTACTAGTTAATGGTTCTTTTGAAGTCAGTTTACCTAAGCTATACTAGATTTTATGTGCTTAGCAATACTAGATTCCCCCTAGAGTTAACCAAGAGTTTCAGATAAACATAGTTGGCAACTTCTTATGGTTAGGTGTCAGCCCCTCTAAGTAGATCATACTAATAAATCATCTCCAGAGGAAGGCTAAAATTACTTTTATTGAGATTAGTTATAACAACAGAATCTTGCAAGTCTGAATGTGCTATACCTTCTCCTTATAGTTCAGTTTAGGGAGGCATCTGTCTGAGCCACTTCCGAATGTTATGTGGCCGTTCTGGATTTAAAAAATACTTCAGCTACATTTGCCAAGGCAACAGTTTCTGCGTATGTCTGTCAAGGTTATCTTCCTTACTCTCTACACTAGAAGAAACTTGATCTTCAGATCTTCTTCTCTTTAAAAAATTCTGTACAAGGTAGACTGATCTATAGAAGCCTGGTCCTTCTCTATCTTTGGTGATCTTTCTTTTACCCAGGAACCCTCTTTAGTGGTCTTCAATCTATCTGTGTTTCTTCAGCATCTAGAACTGCCAAAATCCAGCTTGGTTTGCCAGCCATCATCTCCATCAACACGACCATAATCTTCCTCTCCAACTCCCACCAAAGCTTCTTTTCTGCCAGTTCCCTAGCCCATTTCAATTTTCTCCCCCACTCTATTGAGACTCTGAAGGTATGTGGGAAAAAATGTATCTGTTTTCTCCAAGTCTTTTCTCAGTCCATGTTTATCACCTCCAAGCACAGCTTTTATGACTGGGAGATCATGTAGCAGGACAGCAAAATGTTTATTTGCTGCAGAGGAAATCAGAGACAGCCCTGAAGAAAGTATATGGTAGCTGTTAGAAAAACATTAGCTTATCCCAGAAGACAGGATGAGGTGAGGAAGAAACAAGATTGGCCTGCCTTGACTGTCTTGGGTACAAGAGGGAGGAAAACAGAAATTCTATCATGCTTTCAAGATTCTGTTATTGTAGCCTATATCAGTTTCAGGAACTGAAAATCCTTTTCTATTCACAGTTGTTGCTCAAACATCCAGATCACTCCTATCCTTTCATGGTGCAAACAGATGCCACAGATTTTGCATTAGGAACTGTTCTCCATGCAGCAAAAAGGAAGGGAGGTAGATCTCATGCTGTGCACATTCTATTCTTAATTGCTTCTCCCAGCTGAACAGAACTAAGACAATAAAGAGTTGCTTGCAATAAAAATTGTATTCCAGCAGTGGAGGCACCGATCACAAGAATTTGGAAATTTTGCAAAAGACATAATCTCTCACACCTCATCAGATCAGGTGGGCACAGTTGTTCTTCCATTTCAGTTTTTATATCACCTATATGCCTGTCTCACAGGAATTACCAGATGCACTATCATGTAAGCTGAATACAGAAGGAACTTCCATACTTATTCCTCCTTACCATAATCCTGCAGCCAAGCAACTTTGCCCCTCCCCAGAGATTAGACTCTCCAAAAAGACTGGGGGCAGGGAGACAGATTGTACATCTGTTATACTGGATTAGAGTGCAACAACAGGATGCATGTGTCAGGGCTCAGATGGATGACCTTCAGTGAGATCAACAGACTGAGTCTCCACCTTTCTGTATAAATGATGGGTGATTGTTCTACAATGACTGTGTATATGTTCCCCTTCCTTTAAGGAAAATGTACAGTGGAACCTCGGGTTACGAACGCTTCTGTTAACGAACTTTTCGGGTTACGACCAGCTCCGGCAGCAAAATTTTGCTTCGGTTTGCGAACTCCACCTCAGGGTACGAACAGGATACGCGGCCATTTTCCCTCCCGTGACACAGTCCGCGACCATTTTCCTCCCCTGACACGTGGTCCGCGGCCATTTTTGCGCCCCTGACACGTGGTCCGCGGCCATTTTCCACCC